CCCCAAAACCCCAAAACCCCCGACTATGATTTATTTAGATAAGCCAAATATTTAAATAAATAAATCTTAATTAAACAGATAGCTGAGAATACTTTGAACCCAGCAGCTTCTTCATCTTCTTTATTTACCTTTAAAGCCTCCACCATTTTGCCCTCCTTTGCCACCTTTTTAAGTCTTTTAAATGACAACACTTCTTGTTGGTCTGGAGTGCTTGACTATTTTATTCCAGGATTTATCCGTGTGCTTGCCACCACTTGGGTTATTGCTGCTGCGATCGCTTTTCTTACCAGACTTCTTCATTTTATCAAGCATCTTCTTCTATTTCATCTTAACTAGCTAGTTGTTGCTACGAGCATCTTCTCCCTTGTTCAAATCCTTGTGACCTTTTCTGAATGACTTCATCATTCTTCTGCTCTCGTTACTTGTCTTGGCTCTTTCCATTACCTTAGTGTCTTCCATCTCACCACTACTCTGTAGCTTTAAGTGAGTCTTCTGCATCCACTTTTTATAGACCTTTTGGTCCATAAGCTTAGCAGCGCTTTTGTTAGTAATCTTGACTCCACTTTCATTTCTCTTTTCCTTAACAACTTTACGATCTCCATCAATCTTTTTGAGTACATATCTTTTCTTAGTAGAGTCCCACTTCATAGCAGTCTTACCCTTGATATGCTGCAGCATCTCGTCATCATCATTAACTAGATTCAAAGTTACATCTTCAAGGAAATGCCTTTCATCCTCATTCCATAGTGAAGATTATCCTGGCTTATACTGGCCGTTCTCCTATTCTTAATGTCTATCTGTTGATATATAGTTGTTTTTACGGAAGTCTTATATCTAAGAGCGCTTTTACCTCTTGTTGTTCAAACCATCATCCTTTACCTGCTCAATCATATTCTATTTTTCTTATTCACTTAGAGTTTTATCATCAAGGATCTTCTAGATTCTCTGTCTGCGCTTTTTACTCATTCTATTGATCTGGTCTTTAATTGTATTTCCCTCATCCTCATCTTCAATCTTCTCATCTTCCTGAATAGACTCTGATCTCTTTCTCTTCTTGAGCAATTTCATCTCATTTTCCTTCTCTTTGGCTCTGAACTCAATTATCTTATCATCAAGTAATTTCTATTCATGCTCGAATTTCTTCTGTACTTCTTTTTCATATTGCCTTCTTTCAATCTTCTAACCGTATTTTTAGTTTTATAAAGTCAACGCATCTTGGAATTTACTGATTTTACCCTAATCCATAGTTTTGATAATACTTTACTCAAGAACACTCTGCTTTGGTTTGAACTGCTTAAGTTGATCTTTAAACTTCATAAGCTCGATTTCTTTTTCATCAACTGTTAAGGATAATAGGGGATGGATTTCTGGCTCTTGCATCTTGCTTGCAGCCTACACACCTACTAAAGAAGCTGGGTCTCTAGTTTTATTATACTTATTAAGTGAAAGGGTAATTGATTTCTATAATGGTTCTAAGACTGTGTTATATTGATGCAGTAAATGTGCATAAACCTAGTTATACTCATCGATTGTGGCTTGAGGTAGTCTACCGAAGCACATGTGCTAAGGACTCTCTAATAGTTCCTATTGAGTGATATATTCAGTAGGCTTATCAAAGTATTTTCTGCCCACAAACACGCTCAAATCATGCATATAGGGTAGTTCTTTCTTGGTAATGATTCCATAAGAGGTACCCTTCTGATTGTTTCTGGCAGTTCTACCTGCTCTGTGAATGAAGAGCTTTAGCTTGGTTGGGAAGTCGTAATGGATGACATTTGATAGTAATGGGATATCAATACCTCTAGCTGCAAGATCTGTAACAATAAGGAACTCAGCTTTCTTCATGCGGAATATAGCTAATCTATCCTCTCTGGAACGTTAATCCATTGCTCCGTAAATAAAAGTTGATCTAAATCCTGCTTTAGTTGCCAACTCATGTAAAAACTCAACGTGATATCTAGTGGCACCAAAGATGATTGTTTGCTATTTATCATTTACATCCATAATTAACTCTCTCATAATGTAAAGAAGTGTTGCTGCTTTTTCCCCAGTTCTGACTACCATAAAATTTAACTTGAGGTCATCACTAAGTTTAGAATCCTTATCAACTTACAGCATTCTATAGTCTTTAATACCTGACAATGCAAAGTCTTTAACCTATGATGATATAGTGGCTGAGAATAGAAGACTCTATCTGTTTTTAGGCATTTTATCAGTAATTTGTTTGATTTATTCTGCGAAACCCAACTCAAATAGTCTATCACACTCATCGTATACCACTAGCTCAACAGTGCTGAGAGACAGTCCAGTTTCCATCATGCAATGCATAAGTCTACCTGGAGTTGCTATTATGACATCTGGATTTAATAGAAGTCTCTCAAACTAGTTCTCCATATCACTACCTCCGACTATCAAAGCGAAAGTCAGATCAGTCAACTTGGCAAGACTCTTGAAATAGTTTGCAGTTTGCATAGCGATTTCACGAGTTGGAGACAAAATAAGGCATCTAGCGCCAACTATCTTGCTGTGCGTCTTTAATTTCTCAATGAGCGGGATCACGAATGCTCCAGTCTTACCACTACCAGTTCTAGCCATGGCAATCACGTTAAAGCCCTCAAGAATCACAGGGATGGCTTTTCTCTAGATAGGTGTGGGCAGGTTATAACCTTTTTGTTTAATGGCTTTATAGAGGAAACTAGATAGATTGAAGGCTTCGAAGGCACCTCCACCAGACTTCTTCTTCTTCTTTTGTTCAGCGACTGCCGGGTTGTTTGGGTCCAAGGTGTTGTTGATGTTCTTGGTATATCTGTCGTCGATGAACAAGTCTGAGTTCATTGAATATTTATATGTATTTATGTTATATTTGATACTCAATATGCATATAAACATGCTATATTTCATTAAGGGGTTTTGGGGTTTTGGGGTTTTGGGGGGTTTTGGGG